TATAAGCATATCAGTATTGTATATGATTGCGTATTAAAACAATATCGATTGAGTTTTATTTCGGAAACGTGACTTGCTCTGTAACTTCAGTATATGAGGTCACTGAAACTTCATTTCCATAAAAAAATATTTATCCAAGTGCAAATAGGGACATGGCAATGATCAAAGCAGACTGTTAAGGGCCCTTTAAAGATGATTTTAATGTTGTGATTAAACTTGATTCCGTGTTTAGAAGGAGCTTGCCCCTGTTCTCCTGTCTACAAGGGAGACCAATGATAATGTAGTTATAGCGATGAGACTAAAACATTATGGATGTCAATTGAATATGACAGACATTTTACAAAGTAAAGATTAGGAAAGGTTTAGTCCAAGCTTTAAATCATCATATTGAAGCTATAAAGTGGAAACGTCAATTTAAATCAATGGATATGTCAGCAGAGGTCATAACAATTCAAGATGAAAATGACAGAGTGGCTTAATCAGATGAACATAACAAGTTAGTTTATATTATATATTAATCGACATTTGAAATTTAAACTGTAACGAAAGCGACAATAAGAGAATTGATGTGACTTCAAACGAATAAAACAAACAAAATCAACCAAACCGCAATAGAGAGTAAAAGTAGTTCAAAAATATAAACAAAATAGGTAAACTAAAAATATGAAAATGATGATAGCCCTTTACAGCACCGAAAGCAAAATCAAAAAGGTATAATAAAATGCAGACTCATCTTGGGTCTCTACATGAGAGATAAATTAAACAATGAGGAACAAAAATGCTTATCACGGGTCATAACCTAACATTATTTGATATCTTGATAACATTTTCCGATGTATCACGACTTAAAAGATCAGAAGCTTTCGCGTAGGAATCACATCTGGATAATCTGTTTGAGGATTAATCGTCTGAAAATAAAATTATTCCACAAAATCACGTGAAGATCAATATATCGTTTAATCCATTTTACCTGAAGCCCTGGCGTCAGTCATTCAAAGTAAGCTTTAACTTCCTGTTTTGAAAGTTTGATCAATGCTGTCAACACGATAATGACTTTGGTGTCTAGAAATATTTCAAACAATTTTTTTTTACATTCTCTCAAATTATAGAATATAGTTGTCTATCATGATCGCCACAGAGCTAGGCTGCAGTACCATTTGCAATTTCAAAAAAAAACATATTGCGTTTACCAAATATCTACCAAAAAAGAAAGCAAAATATTATACATTATTGCATAGGCAATGTATGTGAAAATTAACAATGATAAAATTGTAACTATTGTGGAGAAACCCTTTTTTAACTTTTGTTATTAACATTTTTCCTATATTGTTAAATTTATACTTTACTTTTTTTTCTTTCGTAAAACAACAACTATATTTTTCGTGTATTTTAATTATAATTCTCATTTTCACCTTTTTTGTTAGAATTGGTGTCACTACAATACGTTGAATCATACCTACACTTTGTTATGTTGATGATTTTTATTTTACAAGTAATAGTCTTTAGTTAACCCATGTAAAACGAATTTACTCTTCGGTGTTTAATTTTTATGAACGGAGATCGCGACAATATGAATAACATTTAACTAAAGCAGAATTTGGCAACCAACATTTTTCTTAAATTTAAAGAGGATCTTCTGCACTCTCGCGAACTTTGAGTAATATGAAAGCTAGGTCAGACTATTATCTCTCTAGATTTCAGTGACAGTCGGAGGTTATATCGATCGCAGCAGGCAAAATATATCCCGTATTGCACAACCGCAAGCGGCATTCATGTATTACTAAATCTCTTCATCGACCACCACCCATATATCTGCCGATTTCGTCTCATATAGCATACATTTTTGCTTTTCCCGTATTTGCCAATTGTCTGTTTTTGTGTTGTTGTTTTTTATGGGAGAGGGGGATTTCTTTTTGTTGTTGTTTTGATGTTGTTGATTTCCTATCTTTTTTTGCTTTTGTTGTTGCTTTTTGTTGTTGTTTTTGTTGTTGTTGTCGTTTTTTTGCTGTTGTTATTTCCTTAAATGGCGCGGTTGTTAGATTAATTTATGATGATAATATCATATACAATTTGGTAATCGATAGACTGAGGTGGTCAGACCAATTTAACTTTAAACCATAACTTATAGTTTATCAAAATGTGCAAGATCGGAATTTCTTGAACTAATTAAAACCAGGTTCGAATATGAAAAACATTTAGATAATGAAAAAAGAAAAAAATAACACATTTGGTTGATTATTTATTTTCATATACATTGTATCGTTCAGATTGCCACGTAATCAATCTGAATGTGCAACACACCTCCTTATTTATTTAGAGCTGTGATTTTACACGCCTACTAAACGGTGGCTCTTTCACATTTTGGTGATCTGTTTAAATGAGAGCCATCGACACTTCCGTTGCAGAGCCCTCGATGAAAACAAGGCTGAAAAAGGTAAGAAATTTTAGTAAAAATATCAATTTAAAAAGATTATGCTTGTTTTTCAAAAATCAAAGAATGTCATTCCACGTAGAACATTTTTCTCATCATGTTGGGTGCAGTTTCGATAAGAAATGCCCTGAAATGACGTTGCTAGAACTTTTATCAAATATAACATCGTAGGTTTTCCTTTACGAGGAAACACATTTTGAGTGATTTCTCTACCGTAAAGTAGATGCTAGCCCATTTAATCGTGCATATAGCATTGTCCCAACCTCCTCTTTGGACTGACACAAAAAATAACTTACATACCTTAGTTGAAAACCAAATAATCACATTTTTATTATTGTGATCGAGCCATCGACAAGGTGCTGGCGCCATCGGCAATGTGAATGAGCCCTCGAAAATGTGATGGAGCCAACACTATCATTCATTTTGTGATAATATGATGGAGTGTAATTGTTATTATACGTAACTGATTAACATATACAATTTCATATGCATCGTATCACCGGGATGACATATTGAAATAAAATACGCGATTTGATTATTGGAATTCATTAAAATTGAAGTAAAACCTCTTTGTATAAAAAATAAACAGACTAGGCATACAAAAAATAGTTTTTTTTACTTTTAGTCGTAAAGTTTCAGTTTTTAATTTATTTAAATTTCAGTTGAAATCTCGACATGAGTAAGGGGATACAAAAACGATTTTTAATGTGATGTGCGTGGAAAGACGTACGTCAATAAGGCCAGGGTTAAATTTGATAAAAAACTATCATGAGCACCCTTTACCTCATATATACGCGAAACAACGCACTTTCGACCCCCCCCCCTCTTTTAGGCCTCAAATAGTGAAAAATGTCCTATATTGGGCCCCATACAATTGTTTTCATTTGAGAAATGTTGCTAAAAAAGTGAGCACTTTTTCGGCGCCCCCCATCCAAAAGATACATCAGGGGGTTGCAAGAAGTGGGATGTGCCCCCTTCAGTTTTGGGGGTTTGAAGGGGGCGGTAGTCCCCCTCATCGCCAAGAAATTTTGGACTTGTGAGAGGCTAAAATGACCCCAGGTTGATCATAAGGTAACGTGTAACCAACGCTGAAAAGCCTTTGACTCTATCTCAATACCTTAAGAAGTTGCAGCACTTCGAAATAAATTTTGATGGAAAAAATCAAGGCAAAATAGTGATTTTTGGCAATTTTGAGATGTCCCCTCGTTGCCATGGTAACAGGAAATTTAAGACTGAGCATGTCGTTACAAAGGCAATGGTCCAGTCAACATTTGTGCCAAGTTTGATAAGTATGTAAGCATTTTTCATAGTTTCATAACAGTTTGAACTTGTAACAGGATGCTTTTCAATGAAAACTGCCTTTCACAATATGCTCACGAGGGAAAGGGTTTAAAGGCACGTTGAACGTGTACATACACGGAAAAGGTCACTTGTGTGCACGATTGAAGAATGCAGTAGTCCATTCTGCACAAAGAAATACAGGATGGACCACATACGGCAAACATGCCTCTAGACTACAGACTGCTTCGTACAATACTTGCATGTTTGGTTCTTCTTTATATTTTTTCCGCATCTTTGGAGGTGTCGTTTAAAGTTGTGTTCATAAGCAAAATTTTCTCACAATCCCCACTATTCAGCTTATTGACACCGTGTTTTTTTCCGTATGTGGTTCGTTCTGTCTTTCTTTGTGCAGAATGGAATATTGCATTCTTCAATCGTGCACACAATGACCTTTATTACTTCAATTTTAATGAATTCCAATAATCAAATCGCGTATTTTATTTCAATATGTCGATGCATATGAAATTGTATATGTTGATCGGATAGGTATAATAACGGTAACACTCCATCACAAAATGAATGATAGTGTTGGCTCCATCACATTTTCGAGGGCTCATTCACATTGCCGATGGCGCCAGCACCTTGTCGATGGCTCGATCACAATAATAAAAATGTGATTATTTGGTTTTCAACTAAGTTCTGTAAGTTATTTTTTTGTGTTGGTCTAAAGAGGAGGTTGGGACAATGCTATATGCACGATTAAATGGGCCAGCATCTACTTTACGGTAGGGAAACGACTCAAAATGTGTTTCCTCGTAAAGGAAAACCCACGATGTTGTATTTGGTAAAAGTTCTAGCAACGTCATTTCAGGGTATTTCTTATCGAAACTGCACCCAACATGATTAGAAAAATGTTCTACGTGGCATGACATTCTTCGATTTTTGAAAAACAAGCATGATCTTTTAAAATTGATATTTTTACTAAAATTTCTTACCTTTTTCAGCCTTGTTTTCATCGGGGGCTCTGCAACGGAAGTGTAGATGGCTCTCATTTAAACAGATCACCAAAATAAGAAAGAGCCACCGTTTAGTAGGCGTGTTTTAATGCTATAGTTTATCCCACAAGTAAGAATAAATAGAAAACCTTATTTGTACACATGCCATTACTAATATTCCTATAGTGGACAAACTCTGTAATTTATTACACTATCGTTGCTCAGCGGTTATCTACCTTTACGCCTTTGATATGGTATAAACTATACATTGCATATACTGATATGTGAATAAACATTATCAATTGCACTTTGGCAGTCAATAAAAGCTGTTAAGAATCGTTTCAATTTTTTACTGGACTCTAGTGTTAAACTTCATTCGGTTATGCTGATTTAGTTAACTTATTTGTTAAGCTGAATTATATATTGATGAGGAATATCGGCGTTTATGGTAGTAGTGTTTATCTGTAGTTATGAGGATGTGAAGTGCAAAACTGTTGCACCAGACAGCTTAAGGTAAGCTTTATAGAAAAATTAACTAAATTTGCTTTGCATGTTTTATGCATAATATAACAGACAGCTTTTGTAAAATGACATATCGTTACTTAATTTAAGCCCGATTGCGAAACAGGTTATTGCAACTTATATATCACTTTCGAGTCCAACCAGTACTGGAGTCTTATGAATAAACATGGTCGTGACCCGATAATGGTTCGAGCCCATGATACCTGGGTTAAGAGGCAGACACCTGGGCCTACTAAAGGACAAAGAATATTGTCTGCATATTTTGATCATTAATTGGTATTTTCTGCGGGCTATTGATTTCGCAGCAATTTTACTCATTAGAACAATTTTAAGTACTGTATATGATGGCAGTAAGCATAAACGTCTGCAGTTCTGATAATCTTGATAGAAATTTAAAGTACATGCATGTTTGTTATAATTTATTTTGTGTGTAAACTAGGAGTAAAATTGATAACACCAGATAATCTAGTTAAAACCTGAATACAAACAAAAGTGCATTATAGAGATATGCAACTTTATCTCTTATTTGCACACGATTTCATATCGTATTTACATGCAAAATTTCAGAAAACACTTGATAACACTTGGTTACTCATGCGATAATATTACAGGATTTCCGTCATTGAAGTGCATGTAATAATAAACTAAAGCAATACAGATAAATGATGGTCATAATACCATATCTCATTATTTTATTTGTAAAATGTTAGTCAGACATTGATTAAAGATACAATTGAAAATCACTGTATGGTCTTTTTCATAACTTTCATAACTTATGACACCATTTTCAGCCGGAACAGATTGTCTTTTAAGTCCGCGACTTCATCCTGTCGGAAGCTGGAGTTATTAACAAAACGGCTTCTGTACGATCTTTCCTGAATTGAATAAGACTGTAGTTCAGTTATAAATCAGAAACTCAAATATTATTGAAAATAAATTGTAATTTAAAACAAATGCCATCGCCTAGCGGGGAGCACGAAGAATATCATAGTAAAGAGTACTCATATAAAATATATTTTCCTTATAAAAGTTGGATTAAAATTTCATTTTTGACCTAAACTCTTTTCAAATGTATTGAACTTAATTTATGTTTTTGTGTTCGTGTGTCTGACACCATAGTTTATCAGCATAAAATATGGAAAGGCGCGAGGGAAAGGCGGCGATAATTTTTTATCTCTATGTAATTTTGTAGTACAATAAAGTGACATTACTCTTTGATTCAGTTCATTTTTGTATAGTTGAGAGATTAATGCATAATAAACCGGGTTATGATTTTTTGTAAAATAAATTCTGTACGACTTTTAAAGATGAAATTCACACTCTTATCTTTAAATAAACTTTAAAAAGATGATAATTTGTATATGCAATTTTTAAGGCATCATGCCCCTCCGCGTGTCCACAGCGTGAGTAAGGTGTGACTTAATAGAAAAGAGATATAACAGAAAAAAATCTGTAATTTGTTGTAAAGTTGGAGGTTTCGGGATGTTGTCACGGCCACCAAAGCATTACTTAAGATATATCATGGCTTATTATGCGTTCAGGGGCTACGAAGTTTAAGTTCGTGGTTGTCTACGCTTCATTGCCACCACTACCCACGTTATCAACCCAGTATTGTTCGAAAACGCCATAGACATACTATGAACTACAGCGTCCCGGTTTGTTCCTTTCCATTCAGCTTATGCAGTTTGTACTGCGTTTGTATGGCCTATAACGACCTTACGGTGGTTTTATGCGGCCGAATGGGGTTCAATAAGTAAAGTACATGTAATGGAGTTTTACGACTATGACGATCATGCGGCGTCCTAACGGCGACAATACAACGTAACTATGTGAATTGAGTATAAAAGGGCACTAATTCCGCAGTCTTACCCAGAATCTTATTCGCCTGTTTTTTTCCTTTTTTTTTGCAAGGAACAGCAACATGAATTAGTCATTTTAGTTGGATACCGGCATCTTACGTTTGTTGTGCTATCAGAAGCTTATCCATACTTTTAAATAAAAAATAATTGAAAATCAGTTTGCAAAACAGAAGTTTCACGTGCAGAATAAACGCCAATATTGTAACACCCAAAACCGGTGGTGTCATTATGTACGTAAAAAGAGCACTGAAACGACGTCCTGGAAACGTCATAGGCGAATTAAGAACTTTCTGGTCGCACTGCAAACATGCTAGTGTCGCCATAGAGTCACCAATAGAATTTTTAACAGTTTATGTGTTTTAAAACGGTGAATATGCGGCATCTAATGTACGTTACTAGTACGTGCTGGGATTTTCTATCGTGAGTACGGCGTCCCTAGTCCAGGACGCACTGAGACTGCCGATGATGTTTGTGCATGTTCAAAATAGTCGCAATTGCTTTACATCTTGAGCCAATAGTTGTACCCTTACAGCAACTATATTCGTTCTCAACTCGAATTCGACATAAGGCATTCATGGGGTTTCCACTGCATCCTATGACTAAGTGACATCTCGAAGAACACCGTCCCATTTCAAGCGCCAGAATGCGTTCTCATTTCGATTTATGTGCGCTTTTTTGGCGTCCGTAGCGCTTCCGTTGTTATATTCATGCAAAGCCCAATGACATGACCAAAACAAACGCCTTCCGTTGTGTGTGTTTTATGCTATCCTGCCACGTCTCTGCGTTGCTGCGACGACGCATGCGATCGTCCTGTGCGTTGCGCTCAGGTTGGCGTTCTGCTTTTTTTTTATCTTGAGTTGAGTAAGAAAATCGCCGTTGTATGAAAGTGAATTTAGTTACAAATGACAAAAAAACGTTCTAAAGACCTTGCCTTACGACGTGAGAGAAAATGTTGCTTGACAGCTATTTATTATGCTACCAATCTCATATCGTCAACCATCAGCTTTGAATTTAATTTTCAGCTTCCTCGCGAGACATCATGTCTCTAAGGTAAACATATAATTGCCAAGTGCTCCCAGAATCAGTCAAAAACAGGAACAACGACATATTAAACCACAGTTTTGACATTTCACCTCTAGCTCTGTCGCAAACATTTGAGCTACTAACCAGAAACTCACGCAACACATGTTGTGCTATAATGGACCGGACATATTTATAAATAAAACGTGTCAAATGTAAAAGGGTAAATTAGGTTGTTTTGCACGATTTATTCATTAAACGTTATACTTAGTTCCACTTTGAAATGTTTCATTTATTTTTCAGAAATAAAACAATCATAACAACGAGATCATGACACAGACACAGACGAAAGATTTTGCATGCAGGGTAATATATTTTTAATAAAATCATTTCATTTCACATTAAAATTCAGAGAGTAATGAAGACCATACTAAGTATTTGTTTAATATGCCTAAGCTTTCACATGTGACGGTTGCTTTTTCTTTATTGTATTTTACTCTGATTCTACTTGATAATAAGGGATCTACCTTTTTTTCATCTACTAGATACTTTCTAATTATGTAAGAAAAATAATAATAGTCAAATATCTAATAAAGCATACCTTTTTGCCAGACAATATTTAGGTCACGTGAGATAAGTGAGTCTTGAAACAAGAACATTACTTCCACAAATGATGGATTCGTTGTTAAAGGAAGGCGGCTTTTGGAACTGGCTAAAAAGTCACCTGGCAATGGTTTTGACAAAACAAGGAATAGAGTCGACTTTGGAAGACGATTTAAATAACTTTATCCAAACAGTCCTTACAGAACACAAGATAAATAAAAGTTCCATTTGCAGTTCATGTACGACTGAACTTATTTTGAGCTGTCCAACGAAAAACTTTTGTGTCAAGGGACGTCAAAATAGATGTGTTTCCCATTGTTCAACGATTCAAGGAGAGGTACCTGGAAGAAATTGTGCAAAGGACATATGCCATCATATCCGAGACAAAATACGAAAACAGCACAGGCAGATACCTAATTGGAAAAGTACAGACGCAACAAGATGGTGTACCGACTTAGTCGAAATAGCGAAATGTTTTGTGCCTCCTACAGACCGTTACAGAAATGCCAAGAGCCTTAAAGATGTGGATTTTAATGGGTTTCTTTCCATACTTATATGTAAAAAAAGCTTTGGACGCACAATGCCAAATTTGCTCAGTGAAAAAGTAAATAAGGTCACAAAGGTAATTTTTACATTGTTTTTTTTCAAGAGTTTCTTAACCGTTCATATGAAAGCGATGGCTATAACATTTAGTGATTTATCTGGTGAATACAGGTATATTGCACCCAAAACCCATTCAGTATATAACAATCGGTTTTTGACATAAAACATAACATTTAACATAACTTCCAATTAATGAAATTACAAAGTGTCAATGTGTTGAAATTTTATTAACATTACTATAATAATTGTGTTTTATTTTAGGTCCGTGATATGGGCAATGATATAAGACATTCTGGAGATTTGATTGTTTCACGAACAAATCTAGAAACTTATATTGACAGTTTGATAAGTCTTCTTTCCGATGCTGAATGTTTGGCTCATAACGAAGCAGCACAAGAAGCAGTGAAACAGCTTTACTTGGTTGGTGAATTGCATGACGTTAAATTAAACATTGTATAAACATTGATCATATCTTAAATGGCGCGTATTTGAAATTCTGCACGTTTGTAACGTCGATTTTCATTTGACAATGAGGGCAATAAACAGCTGCTGCAAATTCATATTTTATCTTTTTGTTATCAAAGAAGCCTAGTAGGTTTGGTTTTAAAATCTGATAACAGTTTACACATACAAAGGCCAATCTATTAAAAGCTTAATCAACAGAGTTATGTATTGAAAGTTTACATAAAATAGGGCTTACATAATGATTCTATTTTCATTTTTCAGCTGAAGAAGAATGAAGTAACCGTCCCCGTTGAACATTTAAATGAAGCGTTAGAGAATGCCGGTGAAGAAATAGACCAACACTTAAATAAGAAAGACGCAGAATCGACCACTGGAAATGAAACAAAAAGGCAGAATAAAGAAGATGCGATGCAAATACCACGTAAGGTGATAAACGATATAAAAACGGAGGTAGCCAACAAAGAAACTCTGCCACTTACACAATTAGATACCATAGTCACAATAAAGTTGCAAGCTCTTAAAGAAATGAAGGAAGAAATTAAAGGTGAAGTGGTCGATGAAATTCTCCGAAAGGGAAATGGTAAGCGATGTTGATTTTTGTAAAATTGTCGATATATAATGTTAGTTTGACCGTCTTAATACATGCCTATGTATATGAATTATTAAGTTAAGTGTATTAATATGCTAACTAATAAATCCAGAGTTTTATGTTTGTTGTTAAACCAATTTAAGTCATATCTCGTCATCTGGTCAGTCTGCCCGGCTTTTCTGTAAAATAACCAGTATTTGATGTATTTTGCGCATGTGAACGACCTATAGTTAATCCAATATGATTTATAGGTCAGCGGTGTGAGACAATATTAATTAGACTTAATGTCTCAGATCAGTTGTCGTAGAGAAAGTTTGTTTAGCTCGATGTTTGAGCATGCGAACCCTGGATTACAAATCCAATTTGTTTTCGTTACAAGTAATTTATGATAAAATAAAGAAGAACGAAACTATTTAACAGTTCTTCTTGTTTCGCATTTACAGCAAATGATTTTCCTCAGCATGCCTATCGTTTTGATATCCTTTCCTGTTTGAAATACAAACACCTTTGTAAAAGTAAGTGCTGTTAACTTTTGTTCATAAATTTTCAAAATGGTTTTAATGTGTTCCTTAAGACGCATATTTCTTTTGTTCTGAAGGATAATAACCATTATTTATTTGCAAATTCACAAAAACATAGTTTATAAACTTTATTATAAAGTATAACCCGACGTCTTGTCTTCAAGATTGCTGTAAACAATAAGCTTAGAACCACTAGATAAATTTAATGTTTCTCTTTAACCACTAGATAAATTTTATGTTTCTCTTCTAAGTTAAAATAATACCGATTAAAGGCTAAATTGTTCTTACTATATGTAAATCTAAAATATCTATTTGACGAATGATCTAAGTTTATTGTGCTTTTGTTTAAATAACCATGCTTAAGTTACTCTAGTTTAGAATTTGTTTCAGCGTATAAAAATATGTCCAAAATTTCAGGGTTACGCCATGATTTGGTAACTTTTTACAGACGTTCCCAAGGAACATTACCTATCTCTCCGTTGATAATAGAAAATGATGTTCCGCTTGAAGAGGTTTACGTGCAGCCAACAATCAGATCAATAGAAATAACAAATGCATTCCTAGATGCAAATAATGCTACATCTAAACATGAAACAACCGTATACAGAAGTTTATGTCATTGCAAAGGCGGGCGTCGGAAAGACCTCATTTGTAAAAAAGGTTTGCTTGACATGGTGCCAGGCACATTTGTCGGTTATTAAGTCAGCAATGTTTTATCAAACGGAAGATCTTACAACTTTGAAGATGTTTGATTTATTGTTTTTTATATCTTTAAAAGAAACAGATACACATGAGTGCCATATAAATAAAATGATATACCACATGTTGCAAAAAAGCATGCCTGACCCTAACATTTACAGCAGAAGATTTTTGGACAAAATATTGCTCGAAAAGAATGTGTTAATTATACTTGATGGGTTGGATGAATGGATGCACCCAGAAAACTGCGAACACATGGGTGATGTTATTCCCCATCGACGGCATTGGCCTAACTGCACAATTCTCACTTCAACACGTCCATGGAAACTTTATTCATCAAAAATTCAAAACAGTCAAATCGATATGCTATCTGAGCTTCTTGAATTCGACGAGACAAAATCAAACCAGTTATTAGCGTCAGCACTGAAGTTATTTAATAGAGCGTATATGACTTCAAAAAAGGTAGAAGACTTTCGAACCGCTGTGTCATCTCTAAAAGTCGATGTTTTAAGGTCAATACCTTACATATTTTTACAATTGATTTGCCTGTGGTTCGACGACTATACAATAGGAAATTCTCAATGTCAGATCTATAGCAACACTATAGAACTCAATCTTGTTCGAGGTAAGAGCTTTACAGACGTGACTGTCACAGAAACTGCCTCAAATGAAAGTGTTAATCATCCTGTATGCTTGTCAGCAAATAAAGAGTGTTTGCATCACTACCAGCAACTTTTAAGGCTTGGGAAATTAGCATTTGAAACACTTACCAGTGGGAGAAACGAATCAGCACTTATATTTGATGACCATATTGTAAACAAATTTATCTCAACCGATGAGCAACGTTTTCTTTTAAACAAAGGATTGTTATCCCAGAATAAAGACTTTAGAAAGGTTTCAGAAAGAAAGAGTAACTTTTCGTTTCAGCATAAAACCATTCAGGAATATTTCGCTGCACTGTATATTCAGTCGAGTCCACATAATCCTGATTTAAAAAAGCGTCTTCTTACGGAATACAGTACATTGGAATCCATTTTGCAGCTGTCAAATATGTTTGTATTCCTGGGCGGCTTTAGTCCTGTGGCTTATCAGAATATTTCAGATTTACAGAGGTCTATAATGTCTACAGACGAAACAATAAGTCGTTTCAGGTGCCGTTTATCTGGAAGAACGTCATTACCAGAGAATCGAAAATGCTGGGAAGATGTAAAGTCGTTTCAGTCTATGCAGACTGATATCTTACAAGAAATGTTGAGAAACAACCATCGAGACTATTATTTATATCTAGAGGATGTTGTATTGGATAATTCAATTACTTATAAAAGGTTCAAAACACTTGTTAAAATCATCCAGAAAAATACAAATAATATCAAATCATTAAGTATAGAGCAAAGTAGGTCAACAAAAGAAGTGTCAGATAGACTCTCAAAACTCGATCTTCCTAATTTGAAACTGCTTCAGAAGCTAGAAGTCATTGCTACACCACCGATAAATTATCTCAAACAATTATTGACAAACTCTGAAAAATCATTAAAATGCCTTGACTTATGTTTTGCAAACTTTATTGATGGACACTACCGCACAAAGTATACAAAACTTCCCCGTGAAATTATTAGAACAGTATTTGGCATGGAACTTTTGACGTCATTACGCCTTAATAGCATTCGTTTAACTCATACAGACATTCAAAATTTACTTGCTCACATAAATGGAAAGTCTGAAATGACAGAGATTGGGTTGTGTCATATTGAATGTGAAGCTTCGGACCACAGCGGAGAATGTGGTGTATTAGATCTTTCAGGACATAAGAATCTGCAAACGTTACGGCTTGGCACCATTCCTATTTCAACACTAAGAGTCAATCCTTCTGTTTTGAACATGTGTTATACTGGAAGACTTTCAACCAATGTTCACATGGAATTGGACGGCTGTCTGTCAAATGCAGCAAATCTTGGAACGTTACGCTTAAAGTACCTTTCAAAAGAACAGGTATCCCTCTACACGGCGGGATCCCTTAAAAAGTTGGCGCAGATGAAAAGTTTTGCAATTGAA